ATTCTAAAAGTACAATATAAACTTCTCGCTAGAAATCTAATCAAAAGGGTTTTAATGGCCAAACTATCCTACAATTTAGGATTTACAGAGGGTTTTTTGTGAATAAACGACCCTCTGTAACGTTAGCATTCAACAGGAGCACTAGAGGGCGAAACTTTAAAACGTAATTATAGGACGTATTAAGCGCTTGAACAAACGACATATTTGGTCGTAATAAGGGCCTGAATAATCGGCCCATTTGGTCGTATGAGTTGGAGGACTTGTTGTTTGTTTTAAGTTTGAACTGATGTAGAATTGCACAGTGCTTTGCTCTGTGCCAACGCCCAGATAAATCATGAAGGCTTAAATTTGCTTCTGAACTTTAGGATGACCTTCTGATGAGGTGGTGTGTGCTGCTATGTTTGGTTCATGGCATTTCATAAATATCTCTTTGTATTCTTTTCATTTGGATCGTTACATCAGTGGTGAACCGTCAGGGCCTTCAAGGTATTCAGAGAATACCCTGGAACACTCAGATAAAACAAACAAAAAATCTATGTAATTATATAAATAAAATGTATATAAAATGAATAAATGAGAATCGTATCTGTGTTGTTGATCTGTAAAATTACAGTGTTGCGTTGATTTGTTTGTCCTTCTCGGACCATGCACTACGCATTTCAGTGGTTTTGTGTTAGAAAAGAAAGCAACCAATCAGATCTTGTTCTGGGTCTCTGGGTAGAATATCCTTCAACCAAGGTATTCTACATCCTTGATCGAATGCCCTGGCCGTTGCACTGAATGAGAGCGTACCTTTGGATTGACAGTTTGATCAACCAATCAGATATTGATTTGTAGCCAATGGGCGTATTCTTTCAGAGTTTCCCTCGGTTCCAGGGTAGCCTACTCTAGAAGGCCCGCTAGTTAACTGGCTCGAGACAGAGGATCTGAATGCGACGAAGCAATTCATGCCGTTTTATTGTTTTTAACGTTGAAATGGCAAGTGCAACGTTGATGAAGATGAAGTTGTTGCGGAATTGTTGTGAGTACCCTTTTCAAGACGACAATTCAGTGAAAAGACGGACATTATAATGACGGGGGGCGGCAGCGGTGGGGGGTGTGTGTGTCTGGTGTCTACAGAAGATCCAGTTGTGATAGACACGGTTCGCCACTCCGTTGCATATACATTGAGTTTTATTGTCCAGATGTCTTTACGTATTCTGCAGCGGAAGTGCTTCATCATTGTAATGTTTGACTTTTAAGTCCTGATAGTTTTAGTGCAATTTGAATGCCTAGATGTGTTTCATTTCTCTGAGATGAGGAGATAGTGACCTCTGATGAGGGATATTGTTTTTGAAATGTTATGGGTGCAAAGAGAATTTGAGTGTTGAGGTGTTTCCGAGTTTTGGTGTTGATATCGGAGGCTTTGGTGTGTCTGGTCTGCTCACTCAGATGACGAGGTAACAGTGGGGAAGTTCTATGCCACATTCCTGATACAGGACTACTTCAGGAAGTTCAAGAGGCGCAAAGAGCAAGGTCTTGTAGGAAGGCGCTCGTGGGAAAAGCTGAACACAACCATGGCTCTTCAGGTGAGTAAAGCACAATCTCATACATTCGCTGAGTGAGATGAATTAACAGTGATTATATTAGAGCCAATGTCAACTATGACAAAAAAAAAATTACTTTCAAAAGTCAGCCTATTATCTCCAGTAGACAAAGTGAATTTAAAAGGATTGCCAGGCAACTTAGAAAATACTAAATTATTTTGTAGTGCTCACATAACTGAAAGACCACTTTAGAAACAGGATGATCCAAATCAAACTGTCTTTTTACCAAATAAGTAGTTCCTATGAGAACTTTTATCCAGGCTAACCAAAATTTTACATTGTTATCAGTGTTTATGGATAACACTGACGTCACTGAAGTGTACTCTGGTAAAAAAAAAATGTTAGCTCCTAAAAACATTAGGTGCTAACATTTTTTCAACAATAATACTTAACTTGACAGAGATACACATCTGCATAAACCCCCTGTGACATCTTTCAGATCTGGTATTATGGTTTCTCTCTTGGCAGGCTGGCCTGCGCACGCTGCATGACATCGGACCAGAGATCCGTCGAGCCATATCATGTGACCTGCAAGGGGCGGGGCTAGTAGAGGCTGATGGAGAGGAAGAAGAGGATATATACAGGGTAAGTATCCTTGAAGAAACACTTTTTATTTTTATTTTTAGTTATTGAAGGACACTTTTCCTTATATAGGCCAATCAAAACAAACCATGTTCCTCTTGTTTTACATCCTACACTTTTAAGAGTGGTTTCTGTTGATTTAAAAAAATTACTTTCAACTAACAAACTGCCCTTTACATGATTCACTGTTACAACACACATTATATTTGGCATTTTTAAGAATTAGTGAAAGTCATTATCACGTTACATACTGTGCCTGTCACTCATTGTTAACATTATTGCCTTTTCTTTATGTTTTGAATGTCTATGTAATCATTGTAGAACTTCTGGTTGAGATTCCTTAATTTAAACATTGCTTATCTTAGAAAGTGGTACTTGTAAAGAGCTTACTGTGTATAAACCTGTTTCTGTCTTAGTACTCATTGGTTTCTGGTGTCTCTCTGCAGCGTAATGGAGGCCTTTTTGGTAACCATGTCAACCACGTGGGTGCAGATCAGCAAGGCTACTCTCACCCGACCACCGCCACCCAGCGGCCGCTACAGATCCTGCCCTTTTCCTGCGGGGGCTCCACCGGGCCAACCCAAACAGGCAGGAGGGCCAGCGAGGGCGACGCAGGAGAGGAGACAGAGATGAACTCTTCACCTATCCAGTACAACCATCATTATCACTCCCCCCATCCATATAATAACCCCCACTGTATTCCCACCTGCCATCAATCACCAATCCCCTCCAACGCCAACCTCAACAACGCCAACGTGCCCTCGCTTCTCTCCACGTCCAATGGGAGGCAGCAGAAGTGTTTGTTAGGGCGAGACCGTCCGTCCTCTGCCAAAAACCGGTCATCAGTGTCCACCTACAGCAGAGGAGTACACAACAAGCTTTGGAAGTCACACTCCACAAGGTCAGTGAAAAAAAGGATTATAGTCCTTCAACATATGCAGTAGGCGTCTCTAAGAACTGTGTAATATCAGTAGAGGAACTGTTTAAATAAGAATCATAAACCAAAGCAGTCTTACGAGCATTTTGTATGATAAGGAAAACTGACTTCAAAGTGTATTTGAGTAAAGAGAGCATGACTAAGCCAAGCTGATATACTGTCCTGTATGGCTGGTTGATCATTCAATATTCTCAATTAATCGTCACAGATCTATGACATGAATATAATTAGCTGAAACAAATCTTAGTTATGAGGAATAACAATGGAAAAAAAGGGCATGTTTGATAGAAACCCACCCTGAACCACCCTTGCTTCTATGATGACAAAAAGTAGCTTTTGCTTTCAAAAGGTCTCACGTCATGATACTCCTCCCGTAAATCCTGGCATTGTGTGCCCAAACTCTCACTTGTTTTGTTAACATTCATTTTTTCATTTATTTATTATAGTAGAAACGTAAGCAAGCAAATGTGAGCCAAAGCAATTTAAGGTTTATTTGTAGTTGAGAATGACTCACTAATATAAAAATAATTATACAACAGGTGCAACTTTCATTCGTGTAATCTTGTCTATTTTTTCATTGCATGCTACCTCTCTTTCCGTCCCTCTCCCAAATTATACCGCTCCTCTCCTCTGAACAGGACACGCTACTATGAGGCCTACATTAGGTATGTGCATGAATTTTTTTTTTTTTCACAGTATGATTTTTGGTGTGTGACACAAACTCGCTGTGATGTGAATGCTTCTTACTAATAAAAAGAGAAGATGTGTCTGTTTCAAAGCATGCAATAGAGGACGAGCGCTGTGGAAAGGCCTTGTGATGTTTACAGTAATAATGTCCGCATAAAATCTACAACAAATAGTAACTGTGAATAAAGTCCTCATGTAATTCCTATATGTGAATGATCATCACATTTCTACAGATAAATGTTTGACTTGTTTACTTTAACGTTTGACTCAAAGGTCAGAGAGCAGCAGTGGGCTCTACCCCACCATTCGCCGAGAGGAGTCAGGGGGCGGAGACAGCGATGAAGAGCGAGGCTCGGGAGAGTACTTCAGTGGGGAGGAGTTTCAGGAAGACGACATCATGGTCACAAAGGACAGGTAACAGCAGCTGTCAGCCCAACAGGATGTAGCGGCGTATCTTGTTTATATTACTTTATTTATAAGTATTATCTCAATGGCAAGAATTTATGCAGCACGTCTCACTTTTGATTAATGGTGCATCGCTGGTATCATGCTCTCCAGTAACAACATAATAACAATGAACTTATTTGCTACCTTTTTCTCTCTTTTTACCACTTTGTTTTATAACGCTGACATAATTATTTGGGCGACATTACAGCATTTAAATAGGTGGGGCGAGTATATTAGGTATATAAAGGTTGGCGGCGTTTCCTCTTATCTCAAGCAATATTCAAGTTTTTTCTAGTTAATTTACTTAATGTATCTAAGGGAATATGCAGGTTTTTTAAAATAAATTCATGAAGTAAATCTTGGAATTATTACCTACAATGGCTCTTAATACAGCATAGTAACATGAACAAGATATGAGTTTTTTTTTTAACTTTTTGTTCCACAGATTGTTCAACAGGGACCAGCGTGATGCAGAGGCAGACCTTGACCACATGGTTTCCAGGGGCGACCAACAGCCTGATGGTTACTTTGACGATGACCAACAGCCGATCTACCAAGACGAAAGGCGGTCACCCAGGAGATGGCTCTTACCCTCGCCTCAAGGTGATATGCAACAGCAGAGCAACTGTAGTTAAGTTTATTAAGATGAGTGATTGAGAAGTAATTCAGATTATTTAAAACAGTAAGATTAAATGTTTTTATTCAATGATCAACAATATCAATTTTATCAATTTGTTACAAATACCAATAAACTAGGCTGATTCATTCACCTTCAAATTAACAAGTTGTGTTTCTGTTATTTGGAAGCAGCTTTTTGTAATTAATACAAAGGGAAAAAGTTAATAATTCATCTGGTGTTATTATTACATATATTTGTGCATTAAATTAGCTTTTTTCCCCTCAGCCTGCACAAGACCAACATTCAGTTTTGAGTGTCTTCGTAGAAGAAGTAGTCAGGATGATGCTCCTCTCTCTCCATCCTGCACAGCTCTTCCACTGCACCTTGTACATCAACAGGTACACACACACACATTTTTTATATTTGGATATTGTGATGCATTCATCTACAGTACGTCCCGGACCTGTTTTTGCTCTTCTCTTTACCCCAAAATGCCTTCCTTTTTTGTTCGCCTCTCAGGTGATGGCGGTGGCCGGTCTCGATGCCAGCAGAATTCACCGCCGGTCTCCGACGCGATCGCTCCGCTCCTGGGTCACGCCTCCTACCTCGCCCATCAACAGGGACTGCTCGCCCTGCTACACACCTCTCATACAGGTCTGCCTCACTGTGAGATAACTTATTTCTAGATAAAGCTCAGGTCGTCTAGCGTTTGCCCTAACAAAGGGGTTGTTCATGTCAATATTGGTGAGATGTAAAGGTTTTTAGTGAGCTTTACAGGTCTTAAGGGACCCTATTATACTTTTGGGGGGTTTACCCTTTCCTTCGGTGTGTTGTATATGTTTTTGTGCATGTAAGTAGTCTGCAAAGGCTAACATCCCAAAGTTCCTCTCCCGCACACACCCCCCGTGCTGAAAAGCCTTCATTGGACTCATTCGTTTACTTCTGTAACATAGTAACATCACTACGTAACACTCGTGTTTTTTATGGGCTAGGGCTCCACCGCATTGTAATTGATAGGCTAAGAGGCGGGACATCTATAAGCGGCTGAACAATCACAACATAGCTGGCCAGCTAACCAATCAGAGCAGACTGGGCTCTGGTTTCAGACAGAGGGTGAAAAGAGGTTCTGCAGCACAGGCATTATGAGAGAAATAAATACCTTTTTGAACATTAAAGCATTTAAACATGTCACAGTAGACATGACAAAATACAGTCATGTTCGGAGCCCCTAAAGGTTCATGGAGAGAAAAAAAAACTATCTTGTGCGCACAATATACTTTCTCGTTCGCACAAAATACTGTATCTTGTGCGCACTAAATACTATCTTGTGCGCACAAGATAGTATTTAGTGCGAACGAGAAAGTATTTACCGGTGCGCCAAGTAGGAAGTGGAGCACAGAGGAGACAATCGTTTCATTGCAGACTGTTATGTTTATGTGGAGAAATGGCAGTGCATACATTATTTGAGATATATTTCAAACTCGGACTTCATTTAGGGACATTTTGGTCAGGGGTTTAGAGCTAGGCAATTTTTTTAAGCACCGGATTCGCAAAACAGAAGAGTCTGCAGACCAGTCTGCTTTGATCTACGAATTCCTGTCCGTGACTCTCACAGTATCTGCTGCCCACAGCTGTTTTATAGAAGGAAAACCTCCTTCACTTTATGAAATATCTGCAGCACCGGTGGCCTTTATTACGAAGCAGGATTTGCTATTTACTATTCATTCATGAAGTATCACGCTGCGCTGTCAGCACGCGTCTCCATGTTTGTGATTGGTCAAATGTTGCTAACCCCATCCCTTTCAGGTGAACGCGCTCTCAGCCGGACAGAGAAACCCTGGTTGATTTACTGAGTTGATAACCAGCTTCGTAGGACCGCTTAGCGAGATCGCGTTTTTTAGGGTTAGTTAAGCCGGGTAAATCGAACATATCCAGGGTCTGTTGAACTGGCTTCGTCGTACAGGGCACTGGAGGCAGTAACGTGTAACTCAGCAGAATCTGAGAAGAGCAGCACCAGCTGCAAAGAGCTGTGCCTTTTACTGTTTACTTCACTGCGTTTCCCTTCATTAGAACAGCTGAATAGAGATCGAGGCTGCTACGTTTAACCGCACACACCTCTACACACAACGAACTACCAGAGTATTCCCCCTCGTTTTATGAAGGAGATGTCCTGTCACCGGGGCGCATGATGTGTGTGTGTTTGTGCTCAGCTCCGCTCTGTGTGTGTGTGTTCTGTGTGTTTGTGTGTGTCCGACCCACCGGCATTTGTTTTCTAATTACCACGAACAGTAATTTACACACATCTGGTTCTCCATAGTTATATGTGTATTCCCAAGTTAAAGAAATGTGTTAATCTTAATCTCGGTGTAGTGCTTAGTCCTGTCGGAGTGTACCGGAACGAACAACACTATCATAAACAAATGCCCACACCCACACCCACACACACACACACACACACACACACACACACACTCTCACTCACACACACACGCACACACACACACACACACACACACACACACACACACACACACACACACACACACACACACACACACACACACACACACACACACACTCTCTCTCTCACACACAGACACACACAGACATACACACATATTCTTCATAAAAACTAATAATATGGCGTAATAATCGGGCAGTTCGATGTTTTTAACATAAGAACAAGAAAGTATATCGTGCGCACAAATTAATAAAACGTGGCCTCGTTTTATTTAAATTGAGGCCACGAATTACATCTCGTGCGCACAAGTTAATAAAGCGGGGCCTCGTTTTATTTATCTTTCTCTCTATGAACCCTCCTGGGCTCCGTAGTCATGAAACCTCAAAATGAGCATAATAGGGCCCCTTTAAAAAAGTCAGAGTGATAGTCTTTATAAAGATTGTTCTCGTCGGAATTAACTATGCTTGCTTAATACATTGTCTGCAAGTGTTTGTAGGTCTTTTTTTCTATAAAGTCATGTTCGTGTGTATCTGTGTGTGTGTACTCAGGTGGACTGGCGTAGTCACGGCAGCGTGGGTAGCCTCCCCGGAGCGGTGAAGAGGAGTTTGTGGTATACAGACGGCCATGACGGTCCTCCCAGCCGCAGTCACTCTCCGTCCCGCCTGCAGCTGCCCGCAGAGTGCCGCTCTCACTTCCAGCAGAATAGAGGAAGCGCTATCAGTGTGGTGGAGGCTGTGAGTAAAGATTATAAAGGGTCCTCCAACTTTAGAAAAACTCTGATAAGATTTAATTAACATATATTTAAATGTATCATAGTTTGAAAGCTGACTTTATATGCGAGTGTAACATTAATACTTTTATTACCAAGCCCTTGATAATTGAAATTGTTTAACCAATGAATTGTCGTTTACCAACATCAAATTTATATTTGACCAATTCTTATATTTGATAAGCAGTCAAAACTTTTTTTCTCCTGGAACCCCTATGAGGACTGTCAGAATCCCCCTGTGTCTCAACATTTACTTGAAGGTCCCATATTATACTATATTTGAAAAATATATTATAGGGCCATATCTATACAAAACTATCTCTGAACTGTTGTGCTCAAAATACCAAACAGATCACCCATTTTAGCCATGCCTCATAGTCATACCCCTCTATTTCAACCCTCGTACAAAAGCGCTGATTTTGGGTCCGTCCCTTTAAATGTAACCGAGCTGCTGCTGGCCAGCCAATGAGCTCTGTGAAGAGAAGTGTGTCTACCAGCAGAAACTCAGCTAAACGCTGCCGGGATTAAACGCCATATTATGTTCCAAACCACATCAAGAATTATTTCTGAAACAGTATGGAGCTCAAACGCTTTCTCTCTCGTGGGTTTATCACAAGGACAGTACCTTTTTACATCTGGCTTCTTTACACATATTCTCTCTAATACAGCGTCCGCTCTGAGTGTTAGCGATGCTTGTTTATGTAAACACTGACCATATTACTTCCAAAACACGTCACACATTTCCGATATGATGTCAAGTCCACAGCAAATCTGGATCAGCTCCGTTGTACCCCCGTTTTTAGAGATGTGGGTAAGGAGAAAAGAGAAAGGGTTTTATTTTCTGACACTTTGTGAGTCTCCTTACATACCGGGGACACATATTTATGTATAAAAGACATACAAAAATGCATTTTGCATAATAGGTGACCTTTAAATTGTGACTTGAAATAATGTTTCACTTCCCCAGGTGTTGATCTCCGAGGGTCTTGGGAAATATGCCAAGGACCCCAAGTTTGTGACAGCGACCACAAACGAAATCGCAGACGCCTGCGAGATGACCATCGATGAGATGGAGAGCGCCGCCAGTAACCTGCTGAATGGCAGTATAGGTAGCTGCAGCACAGGGGCCACGGGCAGCGAGGGCTCGGACTCGCAGGCCGCCTCGCAGCTCAGAGACAGCAGCATCCGGGACTACAGCGATGAGGAGCCCTGCGTGGCTCTGAAATGTGAAGAGGACCTAACAGATGAGATGATATGCATCACATCCCTATAGCAGCTGCTCACATGGGATTATTTAGGTTTTTTCAATTGAATTTCTACAACTAATCCACAGTGAGGGGAATTTCTCAGTTCAGGAGCATCCTGGGGAAAATGTTAAATATGGGGGGATAAGAGAACAAAGTGCCTTGTTTTCTCTTTCTGTGGAGTGGAGACGCAGAGAGGAACAGATGGTTGTATGGGAGAGCTGAGATTCAACATATTGAAGCCAGAGAGACTCAATCTTTTCACCGGCCTGCCGGTCATTCAGCAGGAACTCGGGATACTCCTTAAGGTGTTTTATTTTGTTATTTTCTTCATTATTAACGGTGGTTTGAAACAACAGAATAACCTGCCAGCCTCGCAAAGCCAGCCCAAAGCTCATAAGTTAGTTTTCCCAAAAACATACTTTGAGAAAGAGCTGCACACCTTGGTAAAATACTGGAAGTTAATGTACTTGGTTATTCATATTATTTGTTTTGCCTCTGTACTACAGTGCATTGTTTTTCAAATTAAACAGCAACATTGATGGCTTTAATTTGAGGAGTTTGCATATTGAGTGAACAATAGCGGGATTGTTCTGATGCGTAATCCAAAAGTTGTGGGAACATGTTTAAAACAAGAACAGCTTTCCTACAACATAAAACTGTGTCACACTGATGTTTGAAAGAGTAACGCTGGCTTTGCGAAGCTGCTTTTGTCCTGCTGCAAAATGTCTTGTCCTGAGTCCTTGTTTTCAGATGGGTGTTTCATGTCATGTATATAACGTGTGATTTTATAAAAAAATAACCTTTAGTGGTCACGATAAGAGACCCTGGTTATTCACATTCTAGATTACATTCTGGCCTCCTACGTCTTGAATTACCACATAAAAGTTGAATAAAACAAATTATATTTTTATTTTGTTAATTTATTTCAGCTATTGTTACTGCAGAGCTACACTCAGGCTGATCTGAGTCCAGATGTTTCAGGGTTAAGCATTGCTCGTCTCGGTACTTGAAAAGGAGATCACATATCACAGAATAAAGACTTTGTCCCCAGGCATATCCTTCTGTTTCACACGTGCACAATGATCTGAAACACAGAAACTGTGTGTATATAATACTCTTCGCCCTTTACAGCAACAGAGAATTAATGTTACCGCATTTTAGTTGCTTAAATACTTTAAACACCCTTAAAATAGAGGAATATATGGTAGTTAGTAAACTGTTTCCATTGTGATCCTTAAAGGGGCCCTGCATGCCTTTTTGGGGGTTCCTCATTCCCGTAGTGTGTTGTATAGGTTTGTGTGCATGTAAATCGTCTGCAAAGGCTAAAATCCCAAAGTTCCCTCATGCTTCTATTGGCTAGCGCTCCAACACATTGTACGTGATAGGCTAATGGGCGGGACGTCCATAAGCGTCTGAACAATCACAACAGAGCCGGCAAGCTAACCAATCAGAGCAGACTGGGCTCTGGTTTCAGACAGAGGGTGAAAAGACCGGGCAGGCAGTATGAAAACAAAGCACTTTTTGAAGATTATAGCATGTAAACATGTCACATTACAATAACATTCATAAAACCTGACCATTAGCATAATAGGGCCCCTTTAATTTTTATCCGAGCCCCTTAAAGACTATGAGGAGAGACCGTTTCATTGTTAGAAACTCAGCCATAATACGCAATGAAAATAGGACAAACATCAGATAATACTGTAGAGGAGTTGTTCTACTTTATGACGTAAAAGCTGATGTGGCACATTAGTCTACGTTAACATGCTGAATTAGGCTTCAAGTAGGAATTTGTTTTAGATTACTCATCTAGACCAGGGGTTCCCAAACTTTACAGCCCGCGACCCCCAAAATAACAGTGCCAGAGACTGGCGACCCCCTGTCGACGGACGGGGAGTCGCCGTGAATTAATTTGTTTGTAAAGTTTGAGAAACAGAGCCTCGTTGCGGGGAAATTATACAGATGGCTAGTCCGCCCCTGAAAATGTCTATGCAAACGTTATTATTAATAATACTTTTTTTTTTTTAATTATAAAAAAAATGAATCAATTTTTTTTTATACATTTTTTATTTATTTTTTTCATTTTTATTTTGTAATCATCTCGCGACCCCCACTCGGGGTCTCGCGGCCCCCCCCCACTTTGGGAACCCCTGATCTAGACAAGAAAACTAATAATCCAGAGATTCATGCCTGAGTCATTCAAATATTTGCTGACATGTTAGTTTCACCTACTGAGCAACAATGATAATAAACAATGAATTCCTCTTCAGGCATTTGAGACCATGAGTCAATTCACGCACATAGATTTCAAGTTTTGACAGATATTGGACATTTGTGACTCACTGACAGTGTACATTTTGAACAACATAACTCTGCTAAGACAAATGTAATTCTTTGTGTGTGTCTTTTGACTGAAATTATGTCAGCTCCTGCAATGTATTCCTATTTATTTTCAATTCTTATGCGAGTGCTCAACTAGTCTACAACAGCTGCTGTCTGTGAAGGGAACCTACATAACCTTCTTGTAGATTAAAAACAACATGTATCTTTGCTACAGCACTAACCAGTCTTTTTCTACCACTGCCAACCGTAAAAAGGTCTTCAGGTGTACTTTTACAAACTACAATGGTTTGTGGCTGCTGGGCTATCTACTTTTTTCCTTCAATATAATACTGTTGTCAGGGCAACATGTGTAATCTGTACAACCAAAGGGCTCTTTCAAATATAAAACCAAAAGCAAGAGATTGTTAAGTGCATTTAAACGCACATGAATATTCAATTATTATTCCAGATTTGTTTCCATTATTTATATGTTGTCAAAAAGTATGCAGATTATTGTGTACAATGATGACAAAAAGGTTCATTCTTATACTGGGAAGTTATTTTCTTTATAGTCAATAAACATACAGGTGAATTTAACCTGAGCTTTATATGAACTGTAAATGCACTCATGTCTTGATTGGCCAACACTGCAGATACATATGACATTTACCAACTGCATGTAAATTGTGTTTCACTAAGAATTAATGACTCATACTAATTGTTATTACCTCTGTGACTATCCGGATGTGTTGGTTAAAATGTCAGGGAAACTGTCACAGTGTTTGATTGACAGGTGAACAAGAAGCAGTGAAAACTAAACAACCAACATCAGAAAAAAACGAAACAAGAATTACATTTAAAATCTATTAATTTTCACTAAATGCAATCAGACTATTCTGACCTACAAATACATGTTTAAAGTATTTAAGATCACGTTAAAAGCCATATTACATGCTTTAGGGAGAAATCTGTACATTTGCTGCACCTAGGAATACTCATCTGGCTGTTGTGGGAATCAAATCTGTTCCATTCATTACAGAACAAACCAAAACATTTAGTTAATTCAGTGTTTGAGACAGCCAACGACACCAGAAAATATAATCATCTGCTGCTTATTCATCTATTCAGTTCCATTTAGACTTAACAAAAGAAGCATTGTGACAAAAACCAACACAGAGCATCGTTGTCCAACTGAAGGCTTTATTATTTTCTATTGTTCCACTGCCATACAAATGTCCATGGAATGACAACATGTATACAATCTGTACAGTGTTTGTAAAAAACAAAGTGATACACATTTCTGCTTTCTACCCATTTGTTGTATGGAAATTAAACAATATAGCTCTATCTACTTGTAGCATAAGTTCTAGTACCTTATAGATTTTGTACCAATGAAAATCAAACACCCTGTTTTGTACATTTTAATTCTTGACGATGAACCTGCTGAGATTTTTTCACTGAATAAAGTCAAGAGGATAAAGTTAGGTTGGCTCTTGTGTTTGTTTACAATCATAAGAAGAATACAAATATAAAGAACGTTCACAATAATGTTCACTTAAAAAGCCTTCATTAGGACACACATGATTCCAACATTTAGTAAACACAGCTCATAGTGTAAACCCTGTAATGTTACTTCATAGTATAGAGTATAGTGCAAAGCTCAATAAGACACATTGTAATTCATTGTAGCACTCGGCTGTTTCCATCACAGCTAAAAACTAAAAACGCATATTTAATTAAAATCAGCACTTCATGCATGAATTTGAGGACGATTTTCAGTAAATTCGATTCTAAAATGTATATCAGTAACACAATATACATCAAAAGTAATTCAACAAACAGGCACATATAGTATTATCAATAATACTTATTGATCTTCAAAAGCTTCTTTGTAAACACGCTACATTGAGATAAAATGTATAAAGATTATTGTATACGCTTTTTTTCAGTTTCAACAAGTTTTTAGTGTATAGTTGCCATAAAAAGCATTTTAAGACACAATTATCAGCAACATTATGCTAAGCTATAATTTGCAGCTTAGTCAAATTAAACAGACTGCCCTGAACGGAAGGCAACACAAAGCTGTTAGCTGTAAGACTTCATATTCAAGTGGGTCGCTGCTGTGCCAGCAACTCTGGGACAGGGGTAGAAAAAGTACTCTATTTGTCTTTAATACTGTCTTTTTATAAAGTTAAGGTAGCAATACAAAATTGTAAAAATACTCTGTTACAAGTAAAAGTCCTGCATTTAAAATCTTACTTAAGAAAAAGTACTGGCATCAAAATATAGTTAAAAAACCTTAACATTGGCTAATCACTTAAATAAATCCTGGATGAAGCTGGCCTACTTTTCAGCTTTACTAACAGTTTTAAATCAAACCCAATATGTTCTATGGTCCCTTCGCTGAATTAAAACAGGTGCAACAAAAACAGCATTTCGTTGAACTGTTGAATCAGCTAGCTTCCAGGAAGGAAGAGGGATGTTACCATGGTGACGGCTGAACTCACAAAATAGATTAAACAGAAAACGTGCTGGGCTGACAGTCTGCTGATTAACAGCCAGACAAGAGTAATGATGACTCATACGACACTCTTGATGTGGCCAAAAAGATATAATCTACGAGACTGACGAAAGGAAAGAACTTTGTTGTCAACACTTGTCTTTTTACAGGCTAAGCACTAGTGTTGTGAAATGTTTAATCTCACGTTGGTATTAACATGAAACCTAGCCCCAGGGTCATACCAGGAAAATAGAGTGTGATGATTGAAGTGGTTTTTTTTATATACGGAGGGTTAGGTTATTATTAAGCTTATAATACTATGGGTTGTTGTGTAAGCATAAGATATGTGAACTTCTCACATACCGAAACCAATTCAAAGTTGATATAGTGTTAACAAGGTATTGCCAGGCATCTTTCCCAGAAACCATTTGTTTCAACCATGAAGTGCCAGCACGCCGCTGACCTTATAAACATGAGGGAAAACTGTGATTCATATTAGCTCAAATATAATTAAATACATATGTCATTTTAAAAGTAAGAACATGAACAATGTAAACTGCTAACATTGACTTGATTTGTTTTACACCCTTATGGCTTTGAATTAACATAGCATAGATCAGCCCTCATAATTATTGATCACCTGTGACTACACATCAAACTGACCTTGTGTGTGCACATCAGGTGCAACACACTCCCATTATTATCTACAAGGCCGATGATCCTGATCTAACAAACAACAAGCTGTTTACTGCTGTTGTCGCCTGATTGTGTATCTTGCTGTTACCCTTCACTCTGTTCATCTTTGTGTGTCGAGTGTCGGCGGTCGGTACACAGGAACCCCGGGGTCCGCGAGAGGAGGACGACCTCTGATGATGTCAGCAGCCTTCTCCGCCAACATGATGGTCGGAGCGTTCAGGTTGCCGCTGACGATGCTGGGCATGATGGAGGCATCGATCACGCGCAGTCTCTCCAGTCCCATGACGCGCGTGTTGGAGTCGACCACGGCCATGGGGTCGGAGGGCGAGCCCATCTTACAGGTGCAGGACGGGTGGTAGGCGCTGTCAGCCTTGCGCCGCACAAAAGCGTCGATTTCGGAGTCGGATTGGACCTCGGGACCAGGCTGGACTTCGGGACCGCGGAATGATTCGAAGGCCTTCTGGGCAAAAATCTCTCTGGAGAGCTTGACACACTGCCTGAACTCCAACACATCAATGTCTGAAAGGAGATATAAGAGTAGTACTATGAGCAGTATTCCATTTAAAATCCAAAGACCAAGGAAACATATTATATAAAGTACAACCATAATTAAGCAGGTCTAGACAGTACGCTCTTTTGGGAAGTTCTCCAAACCTTTGATGATTTTAGTGCCTGAATCTTACCGGTGGAGAGATAGTTTGGCTGGAGAATGGGGTGATCCAAAGGGTTGGCGCTCTTCAGCTTCATCCAGCCGATACTGGTGCTCCTCATCATTCCCACATGAACCTACAACACCAACAGAAACAGTCGTTACTGCTGGATGTTTTGGGCTCACACTTACACGCCATACTGTATGTACTGCACAGGTAGACTCCCAGGGTTTCCAAAATGGCCTAAACACCAAGTTCTGAGACTTTCCATGCCTCAAATTCATATATCGGCGAATGCATGGATCAAGGTTAATTACTGTTAGAACACTGAGAGTTCTTTATAAGATGAAGGAGTCTCACAGAAGGCCACAGAAATAATATCAAAATAACTTCAATCACTTTCAATCATGTCGATTTACAAAAATGTTCAGGACCTTGATTTTTCCCCCTTAAATTGACAAAGCTTCAAGGCTTTTAAAGACCCATACTGACAGTGAGGAGAACGCAACCTTACTGTGTGAGAAAAAAACCTGACATTATTTGTGCAGCAAAACCTCCTCTGTTTTATTAGAGGAGGTTTTTACGCAGTTAAAAATGCACTTTCAGAAAACTCTGCAAACCGAGAAATTAGTAAAGTAAAGCAACTATTATTTGTTGAACGAACACTTTCATAACATCTCGTGGATTGTCTTCTCTACATCTCCATTATGCCATTCTCAATATTAATGTATTTGCAATCATGATTCCTGGACACAGAAACACATTCATCAAAGAAAAGGCCTTTTGTAGCAATTCAATAGAAATGTAATGTTGGGATGTCTTAACTTGCTCCTCTCAGGTATCCTTCTCTGGCAAAGCTGTAAATCTGTGATCCGCATCAGCAAGCTCACTCTCAACTCTCAAGCGATTCCCAAGGAGCTCTTTTTATTAAATAAAGGTATGCAGTGCATGTGGTTTTCCCTGGAATAGCACGTGACTGTATAAACACTAAGTATGTGCTTTACGTGACGGGCTGGTTAGTCTAATCTATTGTGTATGCATCACTTTATGCTTTCCACGACACACTGTTGACACACAATAATACACAGCTCCCTGTGTAATAAAAGGAAACCATAATCATAAATCCTGATAGCTGCCACACATATGCAGTGAAGTCAGCTCCCACCTTCTTACATAGACACACACCTGATATGCCTCGATCTTGGAGGCAACTCGCCCGTGGTCGATGACCTGCGATGGCAGGAAGTGAAATTGGATGTCTGGGTGTGTGATTTTTGGACCGCTGCGGATGAACCCCCCGCTCTCCAAGTGGGCTGTTGCTCCATAACCTAGAGGACACTCATCATGGTTAATGAGGTTGCACACATAGCATCTGCCTTGTGTTTGTCATAGATGACAGATATGTCACACATGAGTACACAGGTGTAGATGGTGTCTCTGTCTCATCTTGTCTCGTGGTGTGTCTAATGAGTTGGCAGCTATGTGATGCATGTGGCAACTGGCAAACCTGCACACCACGGAAAGGACTCTTTATCTGCCTTTACGTGATGGGATATTTCCTTTTAGTTCAAATCTGTGTTTCTGTGGTTACCTCCCCTGTTGTCTGTGTCCCAGCTAAGCTGTTATCTCGTTGGTTACGCTTTGTAAGGTAAATGGAGGACAAAGTTGAAATCATTTGAACTTTGAGCTCTTTATCCTCAACAATGGCACACGGCTGCTGCAGGGAGCTTTTACTGCTGATCACTTGGTTATGACATTTTTATCTTGGTCTTTTAAAACCTCCTCTTACAACAGATTATTGTTCAAATTGAGCAGATACATCACCACCAGGGTTTATTTGTGTTTCTCCTGTTGCTAGTAATAACATCATTTTCTGACTTTCTTTCTTTGAACAAACAGAGTTTGTTAATTTTAACCCATACCTGTTCATAACTGATATTTCTTTTTGATATATTTACTTGAAATTCCGTGATATACAGTAAACCTACAAAAAAGTCACTATTTTTGCAGAAGTGTTTTGGTTACCAGTGAACATGGTGAGCCACTCCAGGCCTATCTTGACCATGTGGAAAGGTTTCTGTGCCTTGTAGAGGGAGATGGGCTGAGTGCACTGCTGCTGGACGTACAGCTCCAAATGATCCTGCAGGTTACTGCCAACACCTGAAAAACAAGAGAGGAATAACCAGGCATTTTTCAGAGGCCTTATTATGCTTTTTTAGGGTTTCACTTTCCTGTAGTGTGTTACATAGGTTTGTATGCAGGTTAATTGTCTGCAAAGACAGGGAAGAAAAAAAAAGGCTTTTTGTTACATTCACACATGTACAAATGTAAAAGTATAGGCACAATATACAAATATGGCACGGCAGGGCCCCTTTAATACAATGCATTCCGGGGCAGGGCTGAAAGCGTTATGAGGTGCAAATGAATCCCTCTATTCTCATGTGTATCAAATAAACTATCAAAACTCTATCAAATCTATGCATCTTTAAATCTCAAATTTTTTCTTTCGATTTCTGTTGTTTAAATAATGGCCTTTAAAATGCTTGCATGGTTTAAAAAAAAAATGAATATACCTGGCAAGTGCTGGACCACAGGGATGCCGTGTTGTTTCAGGTCATCAGCATTCCCCACCCCAGACAGCATGAGTAGCTGAGGGGAGTTGATGGCTCCTCCACTTAATATCACCTCTTTTTCTGCATATGCCTGAAAAGAGACCAAAACCACTTTGAACAGGAGTTCACATCAATACTAGCGGCTATATGCTTTGATATAAATGCTAATGTAAACATGTTATCATTTTGACGACACAATTACGGTAAAGACATTGTAATGTGAACCCCATGACGACATGAGTCAAAGAGTCAAAGTGATGAGATTATCTCTCTGGGGAACATGAGGGTTTGAACAGTGAATAACTGGATGAGTGAGTGCAAGCTGAAAAGTCAGGAGATAATTGAAGCCATTATGAGGCATCCAATGGGCAACGCAGAAATCTGTGCCAATTGTTCCAAAAATGGTTCTTTATGAATTATTTGTAATTGTATCGATCGTACCCTTTTCTTTTGTCCATCCTGTGTGTACTCCACGCCAACGGCTCGGTTGCCATCAAACAGGATCTTGGTGGTCAGGCAGCAAACCTCTGTCGTCAGGTTGGGCCGACCCAGGGCGGGCCTCAGGTAGGCGCTGGCTGTGCTCCATCTCTTTCCTGGACACATTTGGGCAGTGAGATGTAGGCAATATTTAAGTGTTGGTTTATTAAAGATGTATAAATACAAGTTCCTATTCCGTCTAACCTTTATGAACGGTCATGTCCATCCAGCCCAGGCCCTCCTGTTGCTCTCCGTTCATGTCGTCAGTGAAGGGGTATCCTGCCTGCTGCCCCGCCTCAATAAAGGCTTTGTGCAGGGGGTGGTCGGTCTTCCCTCTGGACACGTGAAGAGGTCCACTGCCTCCCCGGTACCTACAGTACAGGGTCACATAAGAAACACAAATGTTATGATGATAAAAGTCACTTTTCAAAATGAAATCCATTGATTTGGTCTGTCAGATGTTTTATTTTCATTAGTTTTAATTAAAATATTAGGTGCTTTTCATGCCGTATTCTGTTGTGAGGTATGCTTTTTAGGTATGTAGAAACCAAAATGATTACGGTAGTTATTATACAGGTTTTTTTCTTTTTAAAAATACAATGAAATGGATGCTTTTGGCCCGTGGAACACCATTAATTTATAGTTGTATGCCTCTGAGCAAAAGGTTTGTGAATCCTGATGCATGGCAATGGTTTTGAGATTTGACACATAAAAGTAGAATAATGTAAAAATGTGCACGACCTGAACTCCCAATTCCTGCATGTGATTAAGAATACAATGCAAGGAAATGTTTTCCAAAAATAAATAGCTTTGGACATTTTTCCTTGGGGGCCTCATCAAGGCTTAAGTAATCTAATGCCAGACGAATGATGGAAAAAGTAAAGCCATTACATTTACAGTTTGTTTTTTTATAACATGTAAAGCGTGTGAACATCGCCACTCCAGTACTCTGAAGATTTCCAGGGGTGTTTCCTGGACCTGGAAACATTCGGGGCTTAGTCCACAGTGGCGGTGCCAGAGATTTTCTTTTGGGGGTGCTGTGGGGTAGCTTGACGTGTCATAGAGGGTGCTCAAACATGTAGGGTTTCCCAGTAATGTACCGGTGCGGAGGCATACAGTCGATGTTTCTACTGCATAACTCCCACCACACGCACATACACAGTGTACCTGCGACTGTTACAATGAAGGCTCGATTATCAGCTCACGGCATATAGGTGTAAGCAGGGGTAAAGTGCTATTTTTATAATAGCGGGGGGTGGACCTAACATCCTCTAGAGGGGTCCGGGGGCATGCTCCCACGGGAAGATTTGTTTTTAAATATTGAAGTTAAAAGCATCAATCTGGTGCACTTTGAGAGCAAAATTAAGAGATCTATGGATACATCTCTCAACACCCAGAGGAAACAGAACTGTAAACAGATTTTCTTTTTCTTTATGGATATTTTACAAATCACTCCCCTTTTAAACTGTATTCTTGTTTTACTGTCATGTAGTATTTCATAACTGTTTTTCATTTAATCTCTTATTTTTTTATAACTATAATGATCATATGAAGGTGTTCCTTGGAACTAATCTTTTACATAAGAATTGCATTCACTGAACACGGGAAATTACAATCCTGCCGTCCTCTCTAGTGTCATGATGAGGTTCAGGTAAAGCACGGTTAATTTATTATTCAGGGTAATTCAGAAATCACATGACTTGAAGTCATATCTGATTTCAGATGTGGGAAGTTACTAAGTACACTTATTCAAGTAGGCTACTGTACTTAAGTTCCATTTTGAGATCATTTTTAAGTCAATAAAATCATTTCAATTTATATTGGGAGTCGAGTCGTTAGTTTGTTTAGTATATGGCCATGTAATAAGCAGGATAATGTGCAGCGACTTGGTCATTATGGGGAAAAGAACACCCGACGCGAAGCGAAGGGTTCTTGATGAGACCAGCACGGATGACCACGTGCTGGTGATGAAACTCTCCAATTGGCTCGGCAAAAGTTTGCTGTTGCTTTGTGTCAGTTTTAACTCGCCACTTCCATTCACATTTTTCATCATTGTTCCACAATGTTTATCATCATGAAATTAATATCTATATATTTTATACTATACTTGCACTGCTTACCGTTTTCATACTTTATATATCTTAGCATATTCATACACACTGTTCATACTGCTCACAGGCTGCT